TTTAAATCTTCAAAGAATGCTGAAACTCTTTTATTGTTGAATCATGATAAATAGATTACTAGAGTTTGGTGATGATGAAGTTGTTCTTTAAATAATGTTATTATTATCAATTAACTCTGTTAAAGAGAAATAAAAAATATTGTTACACGCTCGCTATTCAGTTCAAAAGGAAATAATGTAACTGTTATTTTCAAAAAAAAAAAAAAAATCTCGCTCTATTCATTAAAACATCAAGTTGAATTTATATTTTATATTTTATATAATGTCACAGGTTAGATTATTATTGTTTTTATCACCAAAAGAAAGAAATTTGTATGAAATATATAATAATGCAGTAGAAAATATTATTTTTTTATTAGTTAAAAAACAAGGAGATTTCTGAAAACGAAAAAGTATATCCCAAAGAAAGTTTATTTATGATTTGAATTAAATATAAATGTGACAAACCAAAAGAATGTAACAAGTGTAAATTGACAAGATACTCTGATATATTCTGTGAAGGTTATAATTAATTACAGGGCCTTTTCACTACTTGGACATCTGGAAATAACATAACTGACGATTTTATTCAACAATGCCAAAATGAAACCATCTTTGCCAGACCATATGTTAGAATGGATGCCTTTTGAGCAACTTGAGGATATTACAAAATTACAGGGGACAAAAGAATGGTTTTCGGTGTTGGATGATGAGTGGCGAAAAATCAAAAAGCAAGCCATCATCACCATTATTTATTTTCTTGTAACATCTATTCAAATTTTCTACTAGAATAACATTTCAATCTTTCATCTTTAGATTTAACGTGAACTGAATAGAATATATCAAATTTATATATAATATATATTTAATTGAGCGAGAAGAGAAAAGGCGAATCAATCAATCAATCAAATGATAATAAAAAATTTGTCCATGCGATAGTTCAGATTGTAATTTAAATCCTTTGATACTTTATTGATTTAACCAAATTTTTATTATAAAATTCAAAATCTAAAAAAATAATCTCCAAATTGTATAATATATAATATATATCATTCACCTCTTCTAATATAAACTGAATGAATTTCAAATTTATTCAAATTAGTAATCCGTCTCTTCTTTCACAACTGTTCCAAATGTATCACTAGGATGATCCTCACGATGAAGATCAAGTGTATAAAGTGCAATTCTTTGGCTTCAATCAGCCTTGTGTTTTTCGAAATTTCTACTAGATGGTGTTCTCACATGAACACTACAATTTTATAATATCATCTCAAAGATCGTATATTTACGCGTAAATCAAAATACTCGTTTAGTCTTTCCATTAACCATGATATTTTTGTTCTCCCCTCTCTTCTACTTTTTTTTTGGGAAATAATTTGTGGAATCTATGTGAATGCGATAATTATTTTTGACAAAATCATTCATCAATTGTTTTATTTGACTAAATTTTTTAACATTAGGCTGGACAAACTCGATTTTCGGTTCACAGAATTTGAAAATGACCGTTTTTTATTTTTATAGCGTGTGGAAATTTCACAAGTAAAATTTGACGAACTCTAACTGCTAATAGTACTTTTGCACAATCAAATGTCAACTATTCACTTTATTATAAAAACATAAAAAATCTATTTTATTAGATAAAAATGTAATTATTGAAGATTTTTTTAGAATGGAATTTATTCCTAGTGCACATTATGCAAAAAATGTCGGTATGGTTGCGCAATGCAGAAAATGTGATGAGTGGAGAGCTTCATCGTCAAGAACCTACTAAATCAAGTAGATTTCTATACAGTGTTCAGCGTACTTGTGGCGATCCTTTCAAAAGGCTTAACCTCAGAAATGAGTTCTCTGAATTATTTTTAAAAGTCAACGATAAATTAAATTGCTGAAATTTCATATTAATATGGATTGTTTGAGGATGAGATGTGTTTTGTTTGTGGTGAACAATGTGAACAAGAGGATATGTTAAATCTATCAAACAAACAGACAATGAATTTTATTACTATTGTGACAAATGTAGCGAAAAAACAAACAATAAAAAGCATAGTAAACCACTCTTTAGTCAAATATGGTATGACCTTGTTACAATTAAATTATTATTATTATTATATGTCCAGCCACTTCGTTGTAACAAGTCGAAAGAAATGTATAATAAAAGAACAACAATTTTCATTTGATCACGTGAAATAAATTTTTTCATTCAAAAAAGTGACTCGGCGGGTTACGCGAACCAAAAACTTGAGTTTATACGGCATTATATATCAATCAATTGGTTTTTTTGGCATTTTAATAACGATGAAATGAAAAAAAGAGAAAGATTCATCATATGTAGAATGATCAAAGTTGTCAATAATCCTCTCGAAATAAATTATACTGTACATTCATTCAATTAATACGTAAATTTATGCGCCCCGTAATAATTGCGCGAAAAGACTATAAACATGTATAATGTATAATAACCACGTAATGACATCATAATAATATCTATAATCGCATAATTGCATTGTCAAATGACATAAAGATAATTCATTCATCACAAGGTTTAAAACATTCGATCGATTAATCAATGAATAAATCTTTAAAAAGTCATTTTCGTATTTTTTTTTTTTTCCTGTTCCATAATCAACTTTTTTCTATAAGATTGATGTTTTCTATAATTAATTCATGGGTTTTGATGAAAATTCATAAGATTGGTATTGTAATTTTTGAAAGTTCGTATTCTTTCTTTTAGTGATTTTGGATGCTTGGTTTT